CGGCTGGTGGAACCGCGCTGCTCGTGGTGGTAGGAACACACTGACTTTTCCAGCTCAAAGGTTTGAGGGGTTCACGCTCATCTCATCCTGCGGCGTGTGGCTTTTGTCCTTCTCGGTTGTTGACATCAGCGGTGTCAGTTTTTAACGAGGGAAACGTTTCATATCCTTTTGTGGATGTTGTCTTGCTGGATCTTTAAGGTCCTCCTGTAAGATGAGGGTTCAGTTCTCCTGAGGCTTTCGTTGCGTATTCAAATCCCTGTCTCCCGATTTTTGAAAGCCAGGCTTGTGTCTGACACTCGGGTGAAATCTCACCAGTACGGGGAATTAACTCTTCCCTGTCTGAACCGGACATGCATCTCCTGGTGTCTCCAAGAATCACATCTGTCTGTCAGAGCTGTGGTGGTCTCTAATAATTTTGCCTTTTGCTTCCCATTTTGCTTCCCAGCTGCCTTTGTCAGACAATGACTCATCTTCAGTTTATAGAGTCAATTTTGATAGCCCCTAGGTGTAAGGTACTGCATTTGCTCTGTGGAACTGCCATAAAACCTCAAGGCGAAGTACATTCTCTCCTGATACACTTCTCTGCCGACAGCCCTTCTCCAGTTTTTGCCCTCAGCAGGTGAGTCAGTATTTTCTCCTAAACAAAATACATCGCCACCTGCATAACTGCACTAGATCGGCACTCCTGAGTTTGTAAAACATCCCCACAGCACTGTAGCGAGTTATAGCCACTAAGGGTCAGCAGAGCTTGTATTTTCCTGCGGTGTTGTAGTTTCTGGTCACCAGCATGAAGTCTGTACAGTCAGCAGGCCCTCTAGGTGGCTGCATAACACAAACAGTACACAAGCAGGAGCCGTGCTGCAGCTTCAAAAGGGGAAAAGATGTCACAAGTTACAGCTTTTACAGCAGAGTATACTGAAAATTACATCTTTGACATTAGTTACGTGGCAACCTTCAGGAGCACAGGAATCCTCTGTGACCAGCTAAGTAGCTATCCTTCCACAAAGGGAACACTGACCAACTTTGACAATGGTCCCAGCTGGAAGATCTCACTACCCAGCCTTCTACATTAGATTATTTCTCCCCCCCTTAATCAAATAATTGTGTATTGTAAAACGTGACAAGAATCTCAACGACTTTGCAAGACCAGCTGTAAACTAAGCTGCTGAACATTGGTGATGCATCGACATGGTCCTCACCATTCTTGAGGGCATGAATAAAAAGGGAGTCCTGCTGCTGCTATAGTTGCTGACAGGCAGAGGAGGAGCCTAAGAGCAAAAATCCTGAAAAAGCAGCAGCAGAAAGCCCCCCTTCTCATTTGTTAGCAAGGAGGTAAGGGTTTTTAAACATCTCTTGCTGTGTGTCCCAGCAGCTGCACAGGCCCAGCAGCCTTCTCAAGGCATCCAGCCTTTGGTAAGAAAGCGGTTTTGATGCTGAGTACATGTGCGTCAGGTTTCTCTGAGGTGAAAAGCAGCAATCCACATTGGGGCAGAATGATGATTTGTGGGGGTAGGAATGTTCCTCTGGGACAAATGCAAAGCATCATTTCTGCTTGCAGGCTTGCACCACTCTGTCTCCTCCAGAATGGCTACAGAGTGCGGAGGCAACAACTTGCCAAAGAGGTCCACATCCATCTTCAGGAGCCCACAAGAAGGCACACAGTCCCCACCACATCCTTGGTGAACTGTGGAGGGTGCCATGCCAGCCTCTTGCAGATCAGTTCGAGCGTCACTAGGAGGAAGTCCATCTCTAGCAGATGTTCAAGCCCCCCTTTTTTATTTCTATCTTTTCTGAAGTTGGTATAGCACCTGAGGTGAAAGTGTTGGGTTTTGACTGTAAAGTTCAAATGCTGTTTGGTGACAGTCTTCCTTTCCTATGTGGTCAGTTATAGATGTCGTCATCAAGAACGAAAGCAAACAATTCCAGAATCAAGGACAGAGTTGCAGGAGGCTGTTGCCTTTCTGTGCAAGTTCTTCTGAGGTGAGCTCATTACAGAACTCTTCGTTCCTAGGGCCTCATCCTCGCCAGAGGGATGAAGCAGGGTGGAGGCGTAAAAGGCAGTGAGGTGGGAAACTGAGGTATTTTGCCACTGGGAAAGTAAACTGAAGCTCACGTTTTTGAGGAAACTGGCTTTTTCAACTTGTCATTTGTTTCACATGTGGTTAAGAAACCAAAATGGGTATTTAGGAATCCAGCAGTAAAGTCAGGCAGGCTAAAGCATAGGGCTTCTTACTGTTTTTCTGACTATAAAGTCCCCCTGGGAATTGCAAGCAGTGCCCTAGAGCTTTCCCTCATAGGTTGATAACTCATAGCATTGAACCAAACCTCTTGTTATTCACCCTCTGGAAATCACATAGTAATTCCCCTCTGCCTGCAACATCTGAATGATAAGACACAATCAGCACCCACTGAGAGTCTGCAGGTTAGAAGTCCAGCAGCAGACAGGAGGATGAACTATGTATATTTAGAGGAAATTGCAAGTATGACAAGAAATCTCCACTTAGCTAAACAGCAGTACTAAAATAGGGAGACACAGAAATATAAAAGGTGTGGCATTTACAAAGAGAGCCAAGTGAGTCTTCCAATAGCCAACTTAAATATGATGCAACCGAGGTTAATGTGAGCCACCCCCCACCTCTGGAGATCTCAGGCACAGAGTTGTGGACTCTAAGGAGACAATGTGCAAGTTTTGATTACCCATCCTTTCTTTCAGCAAAAGCAGTAATGTAAGCAAAGTTATACAGCCTTACTCTCACCATGGGTATAGAGTCCACTTGTCTATGGTTACTGTAGCTGGGGTGAGATTCAACTGTGCTACCTTGATCCTGCCTGAGTCCTAATTAATCATTCTTGAGTCTTAGTTTCTAAGTAGTCAGGTATTAAACACAGAGGCTTTTAAAAATTCTTTTGCCCACAATATTCCTTAGAAGTTGTCTAGCTTTCAGTGTAAAAAATGGGAGTTAAGGTGGTGGTGAGTAAATTTGTACATACCTTAGCCATCATATGAAAATATCCCGTGATTCCTAGTGAGAAAGCAGATAATCCACTACTGGAGTATTGAAACACCTCAGTGTTTCAGTATCTCAGTCATGCTTGGGAAGAACGGATGGTCCAATCCAAACGAGAGAAAAGAGATTTTTCGGAAAATCCGTGCTACAGGTATTACTTGTCTTACCATTTTTAAGTAATAGTGGATTGGATTTCAGAAAAGAAGGCCAGATCACAGCCAGTTTACTCAATTTACACTACTAAAAATGATGGCAAGACTCCCACCTGACCTCCAACAGGGCAAGTAGCTGACAAAATACAAGTGATCCAAAAGGTGTTTTAAATTTATATTGAGGTTGTAAATCAGATGCAAATCTCATTCTCTTGTATTACATTATACACATCTTTTCCAGTGGCATAAGAAATTACTCCTATCCGTGCACATCTATATTTAATCCATAACTATATTCCTGGAAACATTGACTTTTTAATCAGTTCAATGAATGGAATAAATGTAGCAAAAAAATACATCTCAGATTACTACATGATAATTGACAAGAAATATTCAGACAGAATACTCTCTCACACTGCAAACTGAGCAAATTTTCTAAACTCTGCATCTTTTCACATTGCTTTGCTGTATGAACAGACAGTAAAGGATCATTTCACCTACCACAAGGACCTGTATTTTATTGATTTATCCCCTACTTCCTGTTGTTTGCTATATCTTTGTGACAGATACATTCCAGGTTGATTATTTCTATTTGGCAGACTATTCTTCTTTTGTCTTTTTAAGGTCTGTGAAACTTAGAGGACTCAATGGAGCTGACTGTTCACAACATCACAAGCAGGGCAAATGTAGCCCTATCCAGGGAGAACCAGGCAGAGGACTCAGAAGCTCCTCCTTCATAGCTATCAAGGAGAAATAGAAGTCTTTTATGTCAGCTTTCTAGTAGAAATACTATTTCTTACAAACATTTCTAAGTGGATTGTATACACTCTGATCTCTTTTATGAACAGGTCTTGCTGCATTTTAGCTTCCTGAGCAATGTCAGTATTTCCCTTATTATTTAGGCTGCCCTCTCTTCAGGGGCTTTTTGTTCCATGACTCTGTCCTCCTAATCAATGCCTTAATTGCCAAGTGTTCCTTCTAAACTCTACCACAACACAGACATTAAAAAGTCACTAAATACTAAAGTAAATGAAAGTATACTCATGGCCACAGTCACACATGCTCCTTGGCTACCTGTTGCATTTGAGGCCTTATGCAGGGTCCCTTTACCTTTACACATATGCACACTTCCATCAGGCTGCTCCTGCCTCCACACTGTATTGTAAATAAAAAGCTTACAGCTGGTTTCCTACCTGAGTACATGGGTGACATCTTGAGGACTAAGCTAACATTATAGTATTAGTCAGGAAGAGCCCTCCTCTAAGAGTAGTTCAGAAAACAAATGCTTTTGTACGTTCTATCTGAGAAGCTTTCTTGCTTTGTGCATTGACTTCCCCCAAATTTGTCTCTGTTTTATGCTTCCCCTTCCCTTGAATACAGGGTAGAACTCCAGGATGGGCTTCCAAGTCATAAAAAAACTGACTTCAGGATGCATCTTCTATTTTGCTTCTGTGTTTATATAACAGGCCATAAATGATAAGAAGTGCTCTGCCATACTTGAAGGATTTTTTTTAGATTGTTCTTTAATTGATGCCATTCAATACAAAAAAATAATTCAAAAGCTCTCTTGGTGCCTCTGCAAAATGCCAGGAACATCTCACCCTTTGCAGATAATCTCTTCATATAATGGTGCTAAAATATTAGTAAAAATTGTGTTTAACTCATAAATATTTACACCTATTTGAAATGCCAAAATTTTGCTCTGTGACTAGCACAAATCAACTGAGTAACATTGTGTACAATAAAAAGTGGGTCACTGCCAGCTGTGGCTTATAACCGCAGTGTGATTTGCAAATACATCAAATTGCTGCCTCCGGACAAGGTGCTGCTTTCAGTTCTCAATGTCTTCATTGACTACTGTAGATTTGGAATAGTGTTCCAACCTCACATCTACCAGGAACTGCCATGATCTTCCTGCCTAAATGAGAAGAGGATTCACCTCTTTAAAATGCCACCTTGACATGGAAAATGAATGGAGGAAGGACCAGCCTGTGCAAACAATGCAAGTCCTACAAGATATATTAATCCTCAAAGCTGCCTGAAGGAGACAACTGAGAGCCACCATCTCTGGACAGTGGTTTAGACAATGGAGTCAATGGAGACTTAGTGCAAAAAAACAAAGACAATTGTATGGAAAACTGAAAACCAGAAAAATCCTTTCTCATGTTAATGTCCCAGATACTAAGTACAGCACCACACTTGCACTTTTTAATCTTTTTGGCCCCAGGTATCTTGCATTCCTTTTTTTTGTCAGGTGATAGCCCTCCCGTGGAAAAGCAGAGAGCTCTCTTCCCCACCTCTTATGGTTTGAGGGGGCCCAGGATGATTTTATGGTACCAATATGGGGACCTAGAAAGAAGATGTTTAGGACCCTGAGGGATCATTGGAGTCAGAACAGAGAGGGGTGACTATTCCCTCCCATTTCCTGCCATCCTCTATAAAAAGCCAGAAGGACTGAAATTCTGCCCTCTTCCTGCTCCATTATTCCTTGCTGCTTTATTGCTCTCAGAGGTCTTGGAGAGAGGCTCCTGCTTTTTTGTCAGCTTACCATGTGCTCTGCAGGATCCAAATCCACCGGGTGCTGGGAAGAGCTGTGAACCCTTTTTCTTGAGTTGGCCCTGCTACAAGGGACCTCTGGACACTTATATCTGCTGTCATCAAGATCAGGTTTTGCATATATTTGTTCCTCATCACGTGTTACTATCCCTTCCTTGTTCCAGTAAACCTGTTCTAGTTTTAACTTTCAACCCTAAAGTCTCTCTTCCTTATACCCTTCTTGTATTCCCCTGGGAGGGTAGAGGGGAGTCAAAGAGAGAAATACTGATCTCTGGTTTTCTGTTTGCCCTGACGACTAAACCAAGACACCAGCACATCGATTTTAATGAGCTGAGTTCTGTTAGAGAAGCAGGTGGAAACTCTGAGGCTGAAGAGATTACAGGATCTGTCACTCTCACATCCGGAGGTTTGTTCTGAGCTTTACCTCGTGCAAAAGAGGCCAAGCCATTTGTGTTTTAATTAGAATGTGGTGATGGCTGCCTTGAGGGTGGGGAGAGTAGGACCTGTTCTGGCTGCTGGGACAAGTATACTCCTAGCAGCCCCTGGAGAGTGCAGAGAAACCATCACTGAACTCAGAGATGCCCTACAAGTTTTACACTGAACCCCCTGAAACACAGGGAGTCTGCACAAGAAATAAAGCAGAGTTCTAGGTGCCTGGAGATATTTCTGGTCAAACAGGGAAATGCTAGAGCATTTCAGCACGATTGGCATTAAGTGGTTTTAAGTGGTAGTGTTCAGCTAGGTAGCACCAGTATACTTAATTTCTGTTTTAGTTGCAGGTCCTTCTTTGGAACTAGCCCACCATCCAACTGACTGCTCACACCCTTTTCTCCAGAAGGGAGTTTCTAGAAGGGTCAGAAAACAGACCTCAATCAGCTGGCCTCCTCAGTCAGAGCTGCAGCCCATGCAAAGAGAACAAGGCTAAAAAAGAGAAGTCTTCCATTCTACTCATGTTTCAAGCTGCTTTTTGCTTTGAAGTGTGGCCTTTGAGAAAACTCTGTCTTCTAGTTCCATTTATTATTTGTTGTTGTTGTTGTTCTGCTCCAGACTTGCTGCCACCTGATCTATGGCTACTTTGCAACACAAAGAAAAGACACTTGAGCTGTAAGACTCTTGCTGACCTACACTCAGAAGCAACTGCATACCCACTGCGACTCTCCACTGAGTTGCCAGTTTTCAGCTGAAACACTCTGTGCACATTTTGAGTAAAATATTCTGAACAGTATCTCTCTTCACCACTTCTATTGCAACACTCTTACCACAAGGAAACAGTGGGGAGCACTGGTTTCCACTTCATATAGCTTTTTCTAAGGAAATGCTATTGTGGATTGCTCTGAAAACACAGTTGTAGGTCCTGTGGCATGACTTAAGCATTTGATCTGTCCCAATTACTTTGCAACAGAGTACAGAACACCATTCTTCTGAGCTGTTCACATTCAATCTCACACTTAAGATGCATATTTTATCATCAACATGTTTCCCAAGCGTTCATTTTCCAACATCTTGTAATATTACATGGCAAAACAAAGTGATATGATCCCCATTTTACAGGTGAAGAAACTGAGGTGAAGAGATAAAATCATTTACCCAAAGAGGAGAGAATCATAGAGCCGGGACTGGGAGTTTCAGGTTTTGTCTTGTGCTCAGAATAATACTCCATGATTCCCCTCCAAAGACTAACTACTGCCAATAATAGTCTGGCTGTATCATCCTTTCAAGGCATGCTGTAAGGCACATTGGCTTTCCCAAACTGAGACAAGTTAGGAGAACAGCTAGAGAGCCAACAAGCCTTCAGCTACAGGGTTATTAATACCTGGGTGATGGCTGCTCTTGGAGTAGTCTATTTGGATAACTGTGTTTTAAGAGTATGCAGGGGAGTGCTTTGAGAAAAGTGTTCCTTTTTTAACTAATGAATGTTTACAGGGAATAAATATGTTAATACATCAGTATTGTTCAGATCAATAGCTACCCTCATTTATGTCCATTTGCTGAAACGGAGGGAAATCAACAGAAATGAGGCAGATAAGACAACTATAAGTATGTTATTTACCTTCTTGAAGGGCATAAATGAAGAAATTGTTAAGTTATTATAGCTTGAAAGCAAGTTTTGGTTTGTTGGGTTTGTTGTTGGTTTTTTTATTTTCTGAATGAGGGAAGAAAATAGGTGGAGAAGTATGACATTATGGTAAAAACTTTCAGGAGGGTACTTATGTTCCCATTCTGAGATGCCTGCTACCTGTGATTCCTCCAAACATTATTGCAAAGATGAAAAACATTCTCTACAGCCTCAGAAGAATTTTAAAATTTGCACAATGTTTCAAGAGGGTAAATGTGACCTATTAGTGAAAAATACTTTTCAACAGTAATTTTCAACAAATTGGTTTGCTTTTCTCTACTGTAGAACATCAGCATCTTTTCTTTTTTCATTAGAACGAGTCAATTTTTGAGGCTCTGTGTGGGGAAAAAAAACACAAGAACAAAACAAATGAACAAAAAAAAAGAAAAAAGAAGAACATAACTGTTAAAAGCAGCTTAAGTACACACCAAAGTGATAATTTTCTACTCTGTTACCATTTTTATTCTTGGTATTGCTCTTTCTTTGCAAAAAAACCAGCAAAATCCTGTTTACTACTAATACCTTTTTCTAGTGTCCTTTGTGAATCCCAGCTGTTTAGTCACAAATTGTGCAGGAGCAAATGTTGTCCATTTCCAGATGACCTTTTTTGATTCCCATTCAAAAATCTGCAGTCACTTAAACCTCGCCTGCTTGACAGTGCACACACCCACACAAACAGAACATTGTTCTCTATTCATCATGCTTGAAAACCATGTCTGAACTTGTGTGTTAAAAAAAAAAATAAATCATGTGGACTTAGCTGTGGGATACATATTTCTTTGGTATGGCCTGCAGCATATTTCTTGTGAACAGCACACAGAGTAGGTACAGTGTAGTTTAAAAAATAAGGACAGGATAATGCCACTTTCCCAGTGCAACACTGCTTTTTTCTAACATTGCTTTAGGAGTTGGCTGACAGTATGTTATTGGCCATGTAGCTATTCAAGTGTCTGAGTCAGAGAATCTCAAAGTGCCAGAGTCTCTAATACCTTACTTACACTAGATAATAACTGTGTTAGAAAATTAGATTGGGAGTAAGTCAGCCTGAAAAAAAGTATGTAGATCAAAAGGAAAAGCAATTATTTCAGTTTTGATGGATAACAGTAACTGTTACACAGAACAACTCACAGAGGGCATGGCAGCAGTCTATGGATCCAGACCTAGTACCCACAGAGACAAAATCCAAGGCTGGGAACAGAAGGAGCTATTGAGAAATCCTGCAGCTGAGAGCAAATAGCAGGAGCCAACAACAGCAGGGTAGGGAACCATGTTTAAAACATTGGCATGTTGTTCAGGGGACTTTGGTCAAACTGGTAGAAGCACTACTTAGTCTTACAGCTGCCCTTCTAGAACTGGTATAAGCCTAGAAGTACAATACCACCAAAATTGGATATAATATTTTCTGCCCCTTAGTAACACTTCTGTAAGCAAACAAGCCTGGAGAAGTACATAACCATTCCCTACTTCAGACTACACTTTTCTATGTGAATTACTTTCTGGCTAAGACAAGTTTGTCTCAGGTATGAAAGGGAAGTGGTTT